GATGTCTTTCCCTCTCTTGAAACTGGCGAGGCTTTTTATCATCCTTCTTATTATCTTTAACAGATATCTTGATTGGGGTAGTTGAGATAGCCATGGAATCTTTAACAGTAGTCTTTGACGACTTGTCACCCTTCTTCTAGTCCTTCTTGTCTTTGCTTGGTTCTATGGTCACCGGACCTTTGTTGTCATGGGATTTTATACTAATTTCCATGTCATGGGCACGCGTAGCCAATTCTTCAAATGTGTGAGGTTTTATGCCTTGAAAAATGTAAAGAAGGCCCCAATGCATTCCCTCCATACATATCTCCACAGTAGAGATTTCTGACAATCAGTCGTTGCAGTCAAGACTGAGTGCTCGCCACCAATTAATGTTGTCGATTACAGGCTTATCCTTCCATTGTTTCGTGTTAGTTAATTCTATCATACTAACAGTACGACGAGTGCTATAGAACCCGTTCAAGAATTCTCGTTCCATTTGGTCCCAACTATCAATTGATTCTGACTTTAGGTCGGTGTACCACTCGAACACGTTTCCTTTAAAGAAGCGGACAAACTGTTTAACTAGTAAGTCCCCATTAGTTCCGGCATTGTTGCAAGTCTTGATAAAATGGGCAATGTGTTGCTTGGGGTTGCCTTTTCCGTCAAATTGCTGAATCTTCGGAGGTTGTTATTCTATATGCATCCTCATACTGTCGATTCTCTTTGTATAGGGCTTTGAGTACATGAGAGTGCTCTGTGAGACTTCTCCATATTGGGCTCGGGCTTTGAGTACATGAGAGTGCTCTGTGAGACTTCTCCGTATTGGGCTCGGACTGTATTCATTATCATATCTTGCGATTGTTCAACGGATAATAAAGAGACTAAAGAAATATGATTGGTTTGACCAGCTGTCTGTTCTATCACGGGTGTCTGTCTAGGGTCCTCTGTGCGAGTACCTTGTGTTGTAGAATTAGGATTCCCAGATGGCACTGCTGTGGAAAATGTTGGATTCCTAGACGGTGGTGGTGTCGAAGTTGCAAGATTCCCAGATAGCACTACTGTGGAAGCTGTAGGATTCCCAGACTGTACTGGTGATTCACCAAAGGTCTGAACTTCCAATTTGTTCATCAGTGTAACGATTTGTAAGTCCTTTTCTTTAATAGTCTTTGTGAGGTTCTCAATGGAACGAGCCATAGTTGCTAGTTATTCCTTTACTGTGGCAGCTCCAGTCATCATAACAGCGACCACATCTGAGTATGATAGGCCTTGAGATTCAATGTTCCTTGAAGTGATTGAATGCTCCGAAGTCTGACGTGGTGACTTTGGGGGTGACCGACACTAGAGTGAGCATCAAAGATGGAATGAAGTGAATTTGGTAGCGGAACCTCTTCTGGAACAATGTCAAGGTTCTTGACATGTTGAGTTTTCACGTTCGCCGGCTTTGCAGGATTAGCTTGCACCAAGTTTTGCTGATGTTTGGATGACGCGATTGCTTGGGACTTGCAACGTGTCACAAGGTCCGCCAAAGTACTTCCATCACTTGATTTGGCCTTCGTGCCACTTTTCATGGTGGCTTTGGCATTGACCTTTGCAGTAACGATGGTCTTTTGGGTTTTCTTTTCTGTCTGAGCTTTAGGGGGATCCATAGAATCTGACAGAGAAGAAACTTGATGGTAGGAGAAAGAGATGAGAGGCAAAGGATGTCCCACCGGGCATGCCAGAAATTTGTACACACAAATTTTGTAGTCTGCAAATAAGAACAAAATATGGAGCAAAAATAATATTTTATTAATTTGAAAAATTTGGAGTACAATCCTCTATAATATTCTTTACAAAAAATAAGGTCCTTTGATTCGATCTCCTTTGTTGGTATTTAAGGGTTGCACGAGCTTGATCTTGAATCACCATGGAATTTGGATGAAGAACGGCACGATTTAATGTGTTTGTTGTTGATTATCGTGGAATTTGATGAAGAACGGCACGATTTGATGTGTTTGGTGTTCTTTGTCTTTGGATTTGGATGTTGGGGGTAGAGTTTTTGTATTTCTCTCTGAAATTCTGGATTTCTGAATTTTGAATTTGTGTCCCTTCTTTCTTCCTCTAGGCCTCTATATATAGGTTTCTTGGATTAACAGGATGATGACACGTGTCACCTCCTGATAAGGATAAAATTATAACTGGCCGGGTCAGGCCGGTTACATTATGATAATTATCCTTAAATATAATTATTCCAAATATATTTTATTAAGAATAATTATTTTTTCATTTAATCATCTAGGCTGGGCTAATTAAATAATTTAAGTGGACCAAATTTGGGCCAATTAAATAACTTAATTAAACTTTAGACCCATATTTGATGGGTCAATTTGTCAATACTAAATTTATTAAAATTTTAATGTCTTTAGCTAAAATTAACACTGAATGAAATAATTAATATTTTTTAAAAAAAATGTGCGTAATATAATAGAATAGACAGAGAATTCAACTCGTGATTTGATTCATTTGGGTTTAAGGGAAGACTGTGATGATGTTGTGTACGATTAGAAATAGACCCCTTTTAGATTTTGGCCCACGCCTCAATTTGATGTCATACTGAAGAGATGACGAAGAAAGTATCCAAATTAGCAAAAACAACATAAACCGAGTCATGACTCTTACCCGACAAGGGTTAGAGTGAGAAGTTTTCGAACAAAACTTAATCAACAACCTTCTATTTTAAACCACAAAAAATAATTCATTCCATTATGATTGTCCATCCTTTTTCCTAACCGATGGTGGGGGTCTATTGAAACTGATGGATTGTCAATGGTGCCAAATCTTCCACTGGTTGGATTTCAACAATCTTCCACTAGTTGTACTTATTGTCCTAACTCAATCCCAACCGTCCGATTACTGCAGAGCCAGAATCAGACGTCATCAGCTGAAAGGACATCCTGGATTGGATGGTCTAGATTGTCCATGCTTATTTCTCTCGAGTGATCTCTGAAAAGAGCACTTTTGATGGTGTACCGTGTTTTGGCAAATATCATTTTCAAGGAATCAAAATAGTTGAAATCACTTTACTTCGATTCATTGATCCGTACTATATACCTTGTAAAATAATTATATGGTCCCAATACATAATTTCGCAAAATAATTATTCATCTTTAAAATTGTAACTTACACATTACTTAGCAAATCTGACAAGGACGACTACTAAAAAGAGGGCTCACTCATCGTCTGCAAGATAAACTCTCTTTTTGTCCTATGTAGTTGGTTTCTCGGTTTTTGCCTGTTTTTTTGTTCTCTTTTGTTTTCCAATGAAACTCGGTTTTTGGAATACTCGATGTCTCAAGAGCCTAAAAAACAGATCACAAGATGAATAATTTTGGGCCCAAAGGATTCATTTTTCTGATTGACCATTTCCTTTTGTTCCACACTAGTACTTGTTGTACAGTCAATCAAATGACCATAAAAAAGCTAACTAAACCTGTACTTGTCTCGACTGCCTATTTATATTCCAAATGATTTACAGGATTGATTCATCACAAGCTATATATCAACCAACCAATAATTCAAACATATACCCACCAATAATTTGGTACTCAACACACATATGATGTAAATGTAGGTCATACACAGATATTAAGCTAGTTTGGTTTTGAAAAATAGTTAACAATCCATTCAAAACATACCCCGCCAATCATTTGTTATTTAGGGCTCTGTTTGTTTAGATGTAAAATATTTTTTAAAAATTATTTTTTATATTATAGTGTTTGGTTGCCGTAGAATATTTACGAAGGAAAAATATATTAAAATTTTACAAAAATAATTTATTCATTAATTTTTAATAAGTAATTTTTTACCTCCGGTCCGAATGACTCAACTTCAATCTCAACTTAAACCTTTGCTAAATACCAAAAAGTACAAATAAAAAAAATATTTTACCTAAAAAATGAAAATATTTTTTGAAAAGAATATTTTACGTCAAAACAAACGAATGCATGGAATAAAATAGGTGGTATACATACATACATATTAGCAAGTTAACAATCCTTTTTTTTTTTTTTTTTTTTAGTTGAATGCAAGTTAACAATCCTTAACAAGTATGAATAAACACTAATTTTGAGTGGCTATTTACATTGCAAACGTACATAAATAATGATGAGTGCTAGGATTTTATTTCAGAGGGGCACAATGCATTTGTTAAAAATAAATAAATAAATAAATAATAAATATGACAAATTGGAAGTATAATTTTTTTAAATAAAAAAAGGCAAATAAGAAAAAAATAGTTGTAAAATAATATGCTAAATAAATACTGTAAAAAAAAATATAATTACAAATATAAGAATCAAAATATTAATTAATAATATTTTAATTAAATACAATCACAAATGTCATCAATAAAAAAAAAAAAAAAAAAAAAAAGAAAAATACATAATTATACATAAGTGAAAAAAGAATTTTTTTGTAAAAGGAAACAAAAATTAGAAAAGGAAAAATATATAGTATACTTAAAGAAGAAGGGATATATGTAATTTTTTTTTTTTCAAAAGGAAATTAGAAAATTAGAGAGGGGACACTATTTAAAATTTTTATGTAAGTATATGTATATACCAAAAATATGTACATAGGTTGGAGCAAAATAAGGGGGGAACATGCCCCTCTGGGCCTTAATCGGCTCCTCCCATATGTATATATATCCTTTACTTATGTGGAGTAATAATATCTATTGGTGGTTTAGAAAAATATTAGCTAGTAATGTATATATCAAGAACAACCCAATAAGATGAGAAACATATTGGGGCCAATTTTTTTAACCTATTTGTATTGCGGAAGGATTTTTATGAGTTTGACATAGGAGATTGGACCATAATTGAGCTTATCCACTACATTAAATTGATCAAAATTCTATACTATTCAACAAGACAATATAGGCCTAAATATCGTTGGACTTGCTTAACATTTTCGTATTTCCATATAGAAACAAAGGGACATGGTTGGAATAAGAAGAGTCATCGGAGAAAAACACAGAGACATAGTTGGGATAAGAGGACTCATATTTGAATACCAGATAGATACATACATACATCCATACATGGACCTGCCTTGTTCCAAGAAACTAAAACCAAATTGAAAACACAAGGATTAGCAACCAAGACTCAGATCATCCCTCTTCAGGCTTGTTAAGTTCACTACTCTTCTTCTTCTTCTTCTTCTTCTTCACTAGTTGCCACAAGAGTGAGTGTCTACTGAATTAGTAACTGGTCTTGAAGGGCTTGTACACCCTGAGGTCAGAAACAACTCCGGCGAAAGATCCGGCGGCGGCGGCCACCGAGATCAGGAGGCAAGCAACACTCAGAATTTGGAGGGAGAGCCATCTGGTGCTCCACTTGGGTATCTTCTTCTGCACAATGTACATCTCCACCGGAAAATAAACCGTGAGAGGCCAAAACCCGAAGGCTCCCAGAATCCCAACCACGTCATTGAAGAACGGCATGAGCATTGAAATGATGGTGGTAATGATCACAAATATGGTTCTCCAGACCAATCTGAAGAGGTTGAGCCTGTAGGGCTTGAATCCCCCCGGGATTGGGATTTCGATGTCTTTGTTGATGAAGTCGCTCTGTGGGAACCTGTGTTTTGCATTTTTTTCCACGAAGGCGAAGAGTGGTTGGCAGTAAACTTGGTATGCACCAACAAGGTGGATCACTATGGCGGCGTTGGCTATGTCAAGAAGCCAGTAAGGGTTGTAGAAGCCGAATCCGGTGAGGAGGTTTCCGGGGGCTAGGTCTCCGAAAGCAGCATAGCCCATGCACCCACAGAGCATGTAGAAAAGGGTCGTCACTGCAACACTTATCATTGTCGCCCTCTTCATTGTCTTGGATTCCGACGGCGGGGACTTGATGGTGTCCTGAATTTCTATGAGGATGAGGGAGTAGGAATAGGCAAAAGCTATGTCGCCGAGTGCTTGGAAGCTCCTCCATATCTTTTGGGTTTGAGTCACCGTGCCAATGCTTATTCCGGTGAGACTTCCCCGGAATTTCCCTGTTTCTGATCAAAGAAAGAGCTTGGATCAGCTTTTGTAGAAAAATAAATAAATACTAATAATAATAGTGAGTTCACATAACAAAATTTTGAATTATTTTCTATTGCTAAGTGTCATTAAAGATATCTCTATCTGCAATTATCTCTCTAAACTTCCAAAATTAGCTCTTTCTAATTCAAAAACATCGTAAATGTGAACCAGATATACTTTTTACTATCCAGATTTGTAAGTGGGACTAAAGGAGATAAAGCAGAAGCCATTTTTTACCTGCAACTTTGCCTATTCCAAGGGCTAAACCAATAGTGGAGTAAGTGAAGGACATGCCTGCAGCAACAATTGAAAGCCACCATATTTGATCAAAGTCTGGAATTTGAGAGAAAATGATTTCTGCAACACCGAACATGATCATGTACGGATTGCTTGAGATGTAACAAGGATTTTTCCCTCCGCTCTCATGGAAGCAATTAGACCTCTTAATTGCCCTGTTTGATTAAAAACCCATTAGAACAAATATTAATTGTCAAACATCAACAGAACAATACACACGACATATATATTTATAGAGCTGTGTTTGGATAAAAAAAAAAAAAAAAATTGGTACTCACATCATGCTTATAGAAGCTGCAATAGTGTACCCAATAGCCACTCCAAAAAGATTCAAGTACTGAATCGCCCCACAAATCTTAACCTTAAAACCACCTGAAAATTTTATAAATATATACCAACAAAGTTAGTTTGTGAACTTTTGAAAAGAACCTACTTGTCAATTTGTCTCTAAACTTGAAAATTAATTACAATAACTTATTAAATTTTTTTACCAAGATTGGATTGAACAGCATCCATATATGTATAGTTTCTCTTGCCGGTGACAGGGTCGCCGGTACGGTAACATGCAGCAAGCAGAGTGGAGGTGTAGTAAGTGACAAAAGAGAAGAGAAACATCACAGTAGGACCAGCAACCCAACCCAACTGAGCAGTAGCCCAAGCAAGGGACAACACTCCAGAACCAATTACAGCTGTTATTATGTGAGCACTTGCTGTCCAAACACTCCCTATTCAATCAAAAATCAGAACAACAATTAAATTAAACACAACACATAGAACTGATTGTGAAAAAAAATTGTGAATTCAAGTTATATATACCAGTTCGTTTGAGACGGCCATCATCATCGAAGCATTTGGAGCCTGCCTGTGGAGCAACGTTCATAGAAAGATCGAAGGCGTGGTTGTGGGTAAAATTCTGACCCTTTTGAGCAGCGTTGTCACCCATCTTTGTGTTTGGAAGAGAGAATTATTTTTTGTTAATATAGAAAAAAAAAAAAAACTGGAATGATGTTAAGAGTTTAACATGAACACACAGAAAGTTGCAAACTACGATCTTAAAAAGAGCAGAGTGGGTTCATTTTTTATAACGAGTCACTCTCTCTGACTGTTTTTTGTCAGTCAGTCACACTAATGAGAATTAATGACACACCCTTCTAGAGTTGCAGAGACCCAAATGAAGTTCTGTCAAGTGGGTATGCTTCAATTGCAGTGAAAAACAAGACCAAACTAAGTTAGGGAAAGAATGAGACCCAGAGAGAAAATGATTAAATTGGGTACGCTATGAGCAAGGGAATGGAGGATATATATATATAAGTGGTGTGAGAGGATTGAAATGAAAAAGTTACATTATAGAGGGACCACGTGACCAAAGACACCGACGCGTATGTCAACTACCGACCACTAATAGTGAAAGTACAATTAAGCCCCTGTTCCCAAACGTCCCTAACCACAAGCAAGTTGAAGCTATCATTCTACTTCAATACATCGCCTTTTCAAATATATACACCATTGTAGTAAAAGTACAATTAAGCCACTGTTCCCAAACGCCCCTAACCACAAGCAAGGATAAGCTATCGCTCTCCTTCCATACATCACTTTTCAAATATATACACCATGCGTTCTCAAAATAAGGGTTTCTTTTGCACTTTGTTAATAAAGTTCCTCTAATTTTTGCTATCTTTGTCCCGTATTAAAAGTTATATTCCAAAAACTTTTAATATGGAAGGCAGTAAAATTTTAAAGTGTAAATTGAAAATTAAAGTTAAAGAAAAATGCATTGAATGAATGTCTTATCATTGTTGCATTAAATGCATGTCTTATTTTGAAATATCACAATGAGACAATTAAATTGGAATATAGAGGTATGTGTGTTTAGAATTAAGATTACCACCATAATTCGTGTGCATGTGTGTTTCTGTCTTCAGATTTCAGCCCAACAAATTCTGGCACCCTTTGAACCTCTCTCAGCTCTCGCACTAATTTGCAATTTAAAAGAAGTAATGATATACATCTCTACCAAGAGCATGTTGGGCGTTACTTGAAAGTATTAAAAGTGTTTCTAATTTAAAATTTTATTTTTAAATGTTTTTTTATAACCAAGAAAAATAAATAAAGAATAAATGTGTGGTAGAGATTTTAGCCTAGTAAAACTTTTATAGCCAAAACTCAAATTTGGATTTATCTACAATTAGTGGAAAATATTTATAAAAGGAGTTTATTCATGGAAAAAGTTATTTATAAAAAGTAATGCTATATCAAAATATATTATTTCAAATTGAACACGTTTATGCAGATTAAAAAATATACATTCAATAATTATAATGACAAATCAACTCTATTTAAGTATATAAAACATCCTTGTTATTTCAAATTAATTATCTTGTATGATCTTAGAAGAGCTATTTTCACACACAAACACACATGCATATATAAATGCATGTATATTCTCTCTCCTGTAATCCTATAACCCTCCCGCCATTTAATCCCTCCTCTGCTTTCTTACTCCCCTCCTTTTCAAAAATATTATTTTTCTCATAATTATTAAGTAATTGTAGTAGTATAGTAGTTAACAAGCTGACAAAAATAATAATAAAAATTCAGAATTTAATGCAACAAAAACGATCAACAAGTTTTAAAATGAAAAAAGACACTGATTTGAGCATCTCTTGTTTACTTCTACAGATATGGTTCGTTAGGAAGGTGAGGAATAATGGGGCATATGACAAGTGGTTGTAGGAAAATATATGATATTGACACCATTCATCCTCAATATTTACAATATATATATATATATATATATATATATATATATATATATATATATATATAACAATTATACTATACACACCACAATCAAAACTATGGAAATATTAGACGGAACGTTTGATGCAACAAAGTGAGACTAACAAAATTTTACTTTATTACATCAAAAAGTTGTCAATATAATGTATAAGTACGTGTTGACATATAAACAAAAAATGAGTTAAAATGACATAAAGCTGACACGTTTACTTATGTGTCAACACCTAATTGATTACTTTATTATATCAAACAACAATTACATCTATTATAAAACATTTCTCTTTTCAAAACACTTCTAAGTAAAACGTTTTTATATGCATACAAAAAATAGTAAAAATGGTACTCTCAAAATGATAACACATGAATGCATACTCTTGTAATGAACTTTTCAACCAGAAGAGGGGGTTGAGTTGTTTTACCTTCATTTCCACCTTCTTTTTCCTTAGACCCTCCTTCCTTCCTTCCTTGATGAAATAGATACAACTCTAAGAGGAAGGAAAGGAGGGAAATGACTTGTAGCTCCAATGTCTCTGTTTGATTAATCTCAAGACCTAATAAATATATATAGTAGAACAAAAAGCATCAAAAACAATATTCTAATCTTTCTCTTTAAACGAGCACCTTAGAATCAGGAAAAAATAAAATTCTCACGTGTGTAGCTTCTCATCCATCCTTACTGCCAAAAGATACGGTTCCTTCATTAATCATTCCCATAAATTATATACATATACATATATGTGTGTGTGTATATAGAGTATTCAGTGCATGTTTAATGTACAAGCAACTGAGAGCATATCAATTGTCTCTTAGTCAAATCATTTTATAAGTTGTGTGGTTTGAGAAGAATCCAAAGATGGTGAGACCACTTAACCTTTCACGATTACTTACCATTCATAGATCTACAATAAGTATCATATTCTCATTAATCTTTGGTCCCCAAACCCTGAGGAAAAGAGAGGTTATTAGACAAAGGTACTTGCTAGTACTACAATTGGGTTCTACAATTGGGCGTTGCATTGATTGTTAACAAAGTAATGTAATAATAGAAGAATATGATGGAATTGTTCAGACTAATTATAGTCTTTAATTAATCTATAAGTTTGACCTCATTGATTTTCTATTGTCAGATCACTATTAATTGTTTGAAGTAATTAGATGTAGGTTATGGATAGTTGATATGGTTAATGTCCATGGGTGTAAGATTTAGGATGCGAAAATATAAAATGTAAAATAAGAAGATGAAAGAGAGAAAGATAGAGAACATAGCATGGTTATGTCGGCACTAAGGTTTACATCCATAAATCAAGAGCCACTGAGGTTATATTTCTTTTATTGCTTGTAGTACTTGATGTGTTTATATTGTAATGATACACAATATATAGGAAATAAAGTTACAGACAAAGGAATAAATCAAGGAGGAAAGAAGGAAAACAAAAGAAATAAATCAAGGAGGAATGAAAGGAAAATGAATATATTATATATGTATAATATATATTTCAATATTCTCCCGCAAACTCAAGATGGGTTTCTCGAAGCCAACTTAAGTTTGGAAATGAAATCTTGAAAACGATGATGGAGCGAAACGCATCCGAAAAGCGGAAACGACGTTGAAAAATGCGGAACAAAGCCGGGAAATGGGTCAGAACAAAGCCGATAAAATGGGCGTTTTTTTTTTTTTTTTTTTTTTCAACAAATTACAAACTCAAAAAGAAACCCCACCAAAAATAAACCTAATAAAATAAGGCAAACACTGCTCCAAAATTTTGCAGGTGGTGGAAATCAACCAAGGAAGAAGAAAATAGTCGGTGTGGTGGAAGAAGAGGTCGCCAGCATGAGAGGTAAGTAAAGTAAAGGAAACCTCTGCAACCAAAGGCGAATTCTGAAATGATGCCAGATATTCGCCAAATTAAGCATAGTAACGACAGCGACGAAGCGCGTATAAATGTGAAGAGTGGGAGCGAAAGACTCGGTCAATGATAACATACCGCGCAACGACTAGAACACAAACAACCTCTATCTGACCAGGAACTGAAGCGACAGTGAATCGGTCACCGCTTCGGAGGGTTGACCGTCGGTGAAGGAGGAATTTTATTTTATTTTTAATTGTTGTTATTATTTTATTTTTACTTTTCCAAGTACTTGAACTTGTGTTTTCATAGAAGCCCACCTAATCAAAATAAAATAGGATTCTAGCGACTAACTTGTGTTTTCTTCCACAAATCACCATTAATGAAACCAAATCTAGGCACCAACTTCTCCAGGGTTAGGAAAAGAAGACTTAATTTTAGAATTAGGGGACAGCTTAATTATGCCCCATTGAGAATTTAAATTAATTAACTTATGTTAAGTGGAAAAACAATTCATTGTGTCGATACACGTGGCAAAATGAACTACACACGTTGGCATTTTTTTGCTTGCTTGTGCTGTACAATATTAAGAACCCATTAATCGTCTTTGTATGATTTCACTTTATACCTAAATTTCAATTAATTTTGGTATATACAAAAAGCCTTAATGTGACTTTTAGCTATGAGATGTTACTTTGATTATTCCAAAGAAAAATACTAAAGAATAACTACTCTTGAAAGCGAGACTTAACTCTTAAGCTTTAACCACCTCACTAAAAAGATACTATTCACTATGAAAGATTGATTAAATCTTAGATTTTCATATCAATATGGTTTTCTATTATCACATTTTTTTTATAAATAAAATAATCATATATCATTGAACTTAATCACAAATTGTTGGTTTAATTAGATTATTTTTTATCCTATTATAGATCGACTCAACAAGTAAGGTCCAATTATTGGTGACACACCTATTTTTTGTACCCATGTGACATATAATGTGTGCGTGTGTGAGAAAAGACGAAATTTGCATATAAATATTCATTTGATTGTTTAGGTCTTTGGGTTGTCTTGAAAAAATTTAATCTTCACAAACAATGATATGATTTAATTTTAAACAACCTTAGATTGTTCGATTATATTGAAATTTGTTACAACATAAACCAATTAAGCAAGTATATAGATTAACTTAGTTGTTAGGCCAAGCTTAGTGTTTTTTCAAGATGAAAGTAATTGATACATCTTAATCCATGACAAAGAAGATTTCTTAGAGGATAAAAGAGGTATTACCTAAGGTATGTCCCACCTACTTTGATTGAATATATCCAACTTTTCAAATTGACTTTAACCTGCATTTTAGTTTTGTGAGTCCGAAATTTTACCATTACTTTGGAAAGATTTTCAAAAAATGATTACAAAAGGTGGCCGGTAACAGAGGGTAAAGAAATCCTAGGAGTTGATTTAGTTGGAAAAGAGTTCTGGCACCTCACAAAATATCAAGTTTCGGGATTAATTCTTCTTAGGTGTAAACAATTTTTTTACGGGCCATGCACATGAACATGGTTTGAGCTTTACCTTATTCGTGTATGGGAGGCGCCTTACACGTGTCCCGGAGATTAGTCGGGGTAAAGTCACAAATACCCAGTTATCGAAAAAAAATAGAGAGTCGAAAAAATCTGGATCTATGCTTTCTTGTTTTGAAGTTGTGACATCCAGATCACAATATAACTTTATCGTTGAGCCAAGACTTACTCTTTCTATACCACCTTTATAATTTCTTAACTGAACGTCATAGATGTATCGTCATTTAAAGAGTCTATGTAAGGATCTCTTGTAAAAGTGAAGTTGTCGACACAATGTAAACCTAATTTTTGCCATTATTGGTACAAATATAATGGCAAAAATTGAGACACTTAGGCTTCGTTTGGATTGAGGGATTTAGAGGAATTTGGAGAGAAAAGAAAGGGAAGGATAGTGATTAGGGTGTTTGGATAGGAAGAATAAGAGAGAAAAGAAAGGATTGGGAGGGATAATTATCCCTCCAAATCCCTCATTTGGAATCCCTCCAAAATTAATAAGATTTGGAGGGATTTGGAGAGAAATGGAACAAATTACAGAAGGGGCAAGAAAGTTGAGAGACAGTCGGCTGAAGTTTTGCGAACAGCGACCGAACTAGAATAGCGGATGATGGAAATTGATATATATGTAGTTTGGTTTTGATTTTTGGAACAATCTAAAATGATATGACGATATGGGTTTTGATCTTCTGATTCTTGTAGATTTTGTAGTTTGCAATTGGAGAGAGAGAGAGAGAGGATCTGTGAGAACGATGGAGGCGATTGGGAGGTTGAAATGATTTTGCCCTACTAACCCTACCAAAAAGGGTAAGATGGTAATTTCATTATTATTCTTTCCATTCTTTTCTCCCCTTTGTGTTATCCAAACAATAATATTGCCAATTCATTTCTTTTCTTTCCTATCTATCCAAACATGAATATAAATTATAGTTATCATTTTCTTTCTTTTCTTTTCTTTTATAATTCTTTCCTTTCTTTTCTCTCCTGTGTATCCAAAGGAAGCCTTAGGATTGGAATCCTGATTTCATACTTAACCAAGCAAGACTACTATTTAATGGTTTCATGTGGTAGTTCAATTATATTAAAAAGAAAAATTGAAAGAGAACTTCGAGAGAAATCAAGGTCATTTTCAAAAACAAAATTATGAGTTTCTTTTCGATGAAGAAAATTTACAAAAGGTTTGAATTATTTTTTTGTAACAAGTAGGACTATAAGATGTGGATTTTCTAGGGAAAATATCATACCAACCCTAGATATTCAAAAGGTCCTCTAGACACAGCTGAAATCTTTGACTCCCATGATATTTCTTGGAGGGTAGATACTTGCCCTTTCCCAATATTTCTCCTTTTAATCTGAACACACAATATATATATATATATACACACACACACATACACGCACGCACGCACGCATATTAGGTACTAGTCCAAAATTCCTGTAAAGCAAATGTTAAAAGCACTTAAAAATGGTAATGGAACTAATGCTAAGCACTCTTATGAGAGAGACTTTTCATGAAGCAGTTGAAGATGACTATCACTTGCTTTTTAAAATATTACTCTCCCACACGCCTTATTTGGACCGTCGATGACTTCTACAAAAATAAAAATATCTCACTTTGTTTTTTGATTCTTTTTAACTGCTTCCATTGCTACAAGAATATCAAAGATTTGTTTTATTCTATCTAATCGTTTAAATAATAATTGATTCTATCAAACCATTGAATTAAAATCTAAATCAATTTGAAATTTGTAAAAGTTTGGTACGAAAAATTGAAATATTTGAACGAATTAGTTGGCAAAAATGTATGGATTTGCGTTTACATGTTCACATCATAATCTAGCACCATCAATACATACACGTGCTTTTATATATATATATATATATATATATATATTTATATATATGCCTGAATCAATCCTACAACACACTACATCGCATATACAACAAGCAACATCCATGCAATAACAATATTATAACAGTCATACAACACTGTAACACAATTAAACTTAGAATTAATTCAATATTTTGACGTAATTATTACATGCATTGTCAAAATAAAATTATTGCATTAACTATTTATAGTTTATATAAATATATATGTATT